AGCTTGGAACTCAGTTACCTTTTGGGAAAAAAAACCCTCAAGAGTCATTTGAGGGCATCTGGTGCTCAAACTGAGAGAATAAAAATGCTTAGCACTTTAACACCTGGACATAAAAGACTGAAGCAGAAGTTGAGATTTCTGAAAATGGCCCGGGAGCACCCCCAGAGAGAGGGGTATGAAGTCGGGCCCACAACACTATAATCACACTGAGATCCTTTTATCTTTTTTCTTTTTATGGTTTATAATTACAATTCCTCAAAGCGGTGCAGAAAGTTTCAAAGTGAGTGTCTTAAGTGAGATATTTGGGTTTTGCATCTTCCAGGGCTGGTCAGTCCCCAGCGGTGGCTCTAATGGGGGGACCGGGGGTGAGGAAGGTCACTGGGATGAAATTAAAGAGCATCTGTGGATGGAGCTCTACAACCTCAATCCCGTTTAAGTCCTGGAAAGTGGCTCCTGTTATGTAATCTCTTCCCTCATAGGAAGGAGCGGACCCTGAAAGGCCTCTATGGACATTACTGGCAGGCTGTCATTGAGGGCGTGCCAAAGCGGCCCGGTTTCTGAAAGAATGCAACCCTGGGCCTGCGTAGGGTTCGCTACCGCTCAGCTACTCACGCTTTCTTAAGGCCTCTGATTCTGGAGCTTGAGTTGGGCTGGGAAAGTGGGAACTTCCCTCCACCACCCACCAAGAAGACTTCAGCATGGTGGGTTTATCAGATCAGCTACTCATCTACCTGTAGGGACCTGAAGGCTGTGTCAGGAGGGGATGCCACTGCAGGGAACTGGGGTGGGGCACCTCCTGCGGGCAGCACCAGGACACCAGGCACCCAGAGGAGGGGGGTGGCGCCTGAGTCACTCTCTGCCCAGGGCTGGCTGAGGTGCTGCCACTCTAGGAGAGCTCTGAAGGCCGAAACCCCCATCCTCACAGCACAGTTGAGAGCCGCACCCAGCCTAGTGAATGGCAAACTTGCCGAAAGCTCCCAGCACTGTCTCGGCTGCGCTGACTTCAGCCACAAGAGGGCAGCCGCTGGCGGAAGATCCTCCCCAGCCTCGCCCAGAAGGCCGCGGAGGAGCTGAGCGCGCTCCCACAGTCCCGTCACTGCCCATCCGTTAGCCTTTTACCGGCTGTAAGTTAAACTAGGTTCTAGATGGGGTATAGAAAAATATGTAGAGAATATGTAGGAAATCTTGATTTTTCTGTTTTTTTTCTGTCAACATTTTGTTGTATTTTTTTTAAAAACCCACAACTATCCTAATTTCATTGGTTACTATTTGTAGTGTTGGAGAAAAAGTTTTTTTGTTTTTTTTTAAATCTTTATTGATTCAGAGAGAGGGAGAGAGAGAGAGACAGAAACATCAATAATGAGAGAGTCATTGATCGGCTGCCTCCTGCAAGCCCTGGACGGGGGATCGAGCCAGCAGCCTGGGCATGTGCCCTGACCGGGAATCGAACCGCGATCTCCTGGATCCTAGGTGGATGCTCAACCACTGAGCCATGCCCGGTCAGGTGAAGAAAAAGTTTTAAAATCTGAGTCAGAGGCCCTGAATTCTAGTCCTCACTCGTAAGAAGATAACTTGACCCCGGGAAACCACCTGCTGGAGCCTCAGTTTCCTCCTCAGTACAATGAGAATACGGGGCTGGGACGGGCTCTGGGATGCCTTCCAGAAACAAAGGCATGAGATGAACAGCATGTGGGGAAAGCAGGCCAAGGGGAAGGAAGTGGGCACCAACGTGAGGTCTGCACGCTCCATTTGCATGGCATCCCTGGGGAACGGGCTGTTCCACATGACCAGTTTTCCAGATAATTGAATTTTAAATGCTGAAACCAGTTTTCCCTTTAACCTTCTGCAATGGAAATCCTTCTAAAGTGTGTTACATGCTTCTCTGGCTTCTTAAACAGCAAGCTGAACATCATCGAACCTTTCCTGGCTATCTCCAGGTCATCAAGCAAAGGACCCAGAAACAGGGTAGCCCTCCGTCAGCGACAGCATGACCACCCCCTGAATAGAGTGCCGGCGCCTTCGGGCATATCCAGGTAGGCAGGACCCTTGGGCTAAATGGCCCAGAGACCATATTAAAAAGCTATTATTGGCCATTCTTCCTTTATTCGATCTCCTACATCGCCACATGCATCATTTCTCCAAGTAACACCTTCTAGCAGCTTCTTGACACTCAGTTTAAAATCTGCTATAACCTAGACAGAACTCAAGGTTGCCATGGGTAACCAGAGTCTGAGCTTGTAACAACCCTAAATTTAATTTTACACACAATTTAAAGGCAGTGGGTACTGTGCCGAAGGTTGCTTCTGGCCAGGGCTGATCTTCAGCTAGTCAGCCAGCATGTAATGCTTCTGGACCAGTTGGCCAATTGCCCTGAGCCCCAGGCCCTCCCGCCAGCCCAGCACCCTGCTCTTGCACGTGCTGACATTCTTTCCAGTTGGCTAGTACCCACGCCATACTGGTTGCTCAATATTGGAACATCAGCCTGGTTTCTGGGTTGAAGATTATTCTCTTTCCTGCTCAGTGAATTGCCAGAGTCTGAGGCTCTTCTCTGTCCCTCAGACCCAAAGGCCTTTTTTCCATTTCATGCTGAGCCCTGGGTTCAGGTCACCTGAGGCCAACCAGGTTGGGTGTTAAAAGCTACCTTTGGCCATAGCTGGTTTTGCTCAGTGGTTAGAGCATCAGCCCACGGACTGAAGAGTCCCAGGTTCAATTCTGGCCAAGAGCATGTACCTCGATTCCATACCTGGCCCCAGTAGGGGCGTGTGCAGGAGGCAACCAAGCCNCTACCTTTGGCCATAGCTGGTTTTGCTCAGTGGTTAGAGCATCAGCCCACAGACTGAGGGTCCCAGGTTCAATTCTGGCCAAGAGCATGTACCTCGGCTCCATCCCCGGCCCCAGCAGGGGCGTGTGCTGGAGGCAACCAAGTGATGTCTCTCTCTCACATCCATGTTTCTCTCTCTCCCCCCCTTCCACTCTTTCTGAAAGCAATGGAAAAATAACCTCAGGTAAGAATTAAAAAAATAAAAATAAAAATAAATAAAAGCTACCTTTGACTGAATATCTACCATGTGCCAGATGCCTATTCAGAACATAATACAAATCATCTTAGCTCAGCCATGAAAGGACCCCGTTGGGGAAACAGCATCAGCCTCCTGTGGCTGAGGAACTTGGGGGTCACATGGTCGATAAGCGGGTCTGGAAACCGGATCCACCTCTCTGAGGCATGTACTTTGCACTCTGTTCTGCTCAAGTTTATTAACTTACAAGAAAGTCCAGTCAAGGGTCACATCCTGAAAAGTATATTTTCAGTGAAACATGGGCCCTTCTACTTTTCAGAAAAGGCTACTTGTTTTTGATGTGTGGGTTGTGTTTTAATTAATTCCACATTTTGTTATCAATTTGGAACAATCTGTCCTCAGGGAACAGAGCTGGTTTACTTATAGAAAGCTAGCAGAGGGAGGGGCTGGGGTTATAAAGTATTTGTAGGAATTAATCAAAAAAAGCCTTCCCAGTTCTTCCTGCACCAAAAAGAAGTAAACAGAACATTCCAAAAGTCCTGTCTTCCCCAGAGTAGGTGTGATACAGCTCACAAACAAGAACTTTGCTCTGCTGTTGGTTAGTGTCTACCCAATACACCAAGGTTGCAGGTTTGATCCCTGGTCAGGGCATATACGGGAATCAGCCAATGAATGCGTAAATAAGTGGAACAACAAATCAGTGTCTCTCTCTCTCTTTAAAAATCAATTTAAAAAACAATGAAAAAAACCAACACATTGCTCTGTGTGTTATCAGCTATGCCTGCAAAATGGAACATGTGACGTCAAACATAACTAAGATCCCTCCCCATCCCCAAAAGTTCTCTAGAAGTTCACTCCAGGATGATGCTATTACCACTCAAAAGAGAATGAGGGGCTCTCAGAGCTACTGGGGGAGCTCAGGAGTCTCAGCTAGTGAGAAGGCAGGGATGGGGTCTGTAATTTTAGGACAGTCACTGATTTAGCTTTGGAACTGGTTCTGGAGTACAGAAAGGTGTCAAACCCACCGCTATGAATTCTGCTGTCTCCCCAGGGCAGACCTTTCCAAATGGACCCTAAGCTCATTTTTAAAATGAGCAAACCATGACGTCACCTTCCACAGTTTGCACCTGCTCCTCCCACAGTTAACACACAATCTGCAGTGTCCTCTTCCAAAAACATTCACAGGGCTCTAAAGTTTCCAGAGTAACCCTTGTCTGGAGGGAAACCGACAGAGAAACCAACTAGTCATAGGTGACAGGGTCAAAACAGCATGTGTATTAGTTTCCTAGGGCTGCCATAAAACAGTACCGCAAACTGAGCGGCTTAAGCAACAGAAATTTATCGTCTCACAGTTCTGGAGGCCAGAAGTCCAAGATCAAGGTATTGGTGGAGCCATGCTCCCTCTGATGGGACAGGTTAAGATATACCCCAGGCCCTGATCCTAGCTTCCGGGGGTTCCTCGGCGTGTCCTGTCTCCCCACAGTCTTCTCTTTGGGTACATGTCTTTGCCATTTTTATAAGGACACTGTCATACTGGATTAGAGGCCCATCCTATTTGTATGACCTCATCTTAAGTAACTATATCTGCAATGACCTTATTTCCAAATAGGGCCACATTTGGAGATACCAGGGATTAGGACTTCTACATATAAATTTCGGGGAGACACTAGTTCAACCCATAACATCATCTAAGGTAGTTTTGAATTCAAAATCAAACTCAAGAGAAGGAGCAGAATGAATTGCCCAAAAGATCGCCTCATATTATAACTGCGAGTGCTAGCGTGGTTGACTCATCCTGTCGGTGGGGTGCGTGGGAAGTTGGTGTGTTGACCCCTGAAATCTGTGGCCTGCAAGGGGGAATCGAGGAGCAGAGAGGTACAGCAGGCCCTTGAAAGAACCCTAATTCCTGCTCACCACTTTCTAGGCCAAAATTGACTCTGGTGCGTGCCAGAACCTGGTGCGAAAGGAGCGCCCCTCACTCACCTGGCCCCACTGACGTCCACGCCGACCATGAGCTGCCCGTTGAGGGACAGGACCTCGTCGCGCAGGCGGACCTTCCCGCTCTTCCCCGCGGGGCTGTTCTTCCTCAGCTCCGTCACCCAGATGCAGCCCACGTCCAGCACGGGGCCCTGGTGGGTCTTCCTCTTCTTGCCCCCCCTGCGCTTTTCTCCATAGTCCCCGAAGACGGGGATGTTCCCGAAACTGAGGCCCACAGTCTCCGCGTCCCCCAGCTCCTTGGCGAGGTACACGGCGCAGATCTCCATCCCCGGGGGGCTGCGCTCGGGGGCCACGGCGCCCTCGTCCACGGCGAAGTTCAGCTGGATGTACTCCCGCAGCTTCTGGATGGCCGCCTGGCACAGCCGCTGCTCCGGCCCCGCGCCGCCCTCCCGCAGGCTGTTCTCCAGCCAGCGGCAGAGCAGGGGCAGGTGCAGCCCCGCGTTGTCCTGGGTGATGGGCATGGTGCTCACTCGGGGACACCGGCGTCAGGAGAGGGCCTGCGCCTGGCGGCCGGGCCCCGCGGGGCCCCGCGTCCCCTGGGAACCCTGGCTGTCATCGGCTGTGCCCGTGGGCATGTTCAGGCTGGCAGGCGACGGATGCCTGCTGCCGAGGGGGCTGCTGGCCGTGGCGAGAGGACAGGACGCGCTCCAACAGCGGGAAGGTGGCCGCGCCAGCAGCGCTCAACGAGGGGAGGAAGGAAGGGTCCAGCGCATCCTCGCTGCCTTCGTTTCACAGCAGGGCCCATGCAAATGACTCGGGAAGGGGGCAGCCCTTCATCCGCACCAGCATGACCTCCCCAGATTCAGTCACACCTGAAAGGGGGAAAAACAAGAAATTCCTTCCAGTCACAACAGTGAGCCTTCTGACACAGAACACACGGCCTCTTGTATTACTGAAGGGCAATGTTTGCTTTCTGAGCCAGAAGCCTAATGCCTCTCCCTGTTCCCCTGCTTGGCTCCCTCCACCCAGTATACACAGACACACACACACACAGACACACACACACACACACACCCTTCCCTCACACAGAAACCCCTGGAACACTGACCTCCAGGAAGTTTCCCTGATCAGGAAATGAGAGGACTTTTGCCAGGACAACCCCCATCAAGCTCACACCCAACCGGGAAGACCATAGAGGGGTTATGGACATATTTAAGAACTTACATTCCCAGGAAGTTGAAATCTACCTCCATTTGCCTTGATCTGTCCAACTGCACACACAGGAAGGCTCTCGGTTCCAGAACTATGTTCTTATACTGCCACCGAGAGGAGGAGGAACCCATCAACGGCACAGAGAGACTCAGGCTGGGCCCCAGGACAGCACCAGTCCTGAGCTCAGCCATGGGTTCCATCTTCATCACCTAGATTCCATGGGGAACCCTGTCCCCTGGCGTCCTACAGCTCTCACTCTCCTCTCTTCTTTTCCTTTGGTAAACCTACTCTTAGGCCAACCCAAAAGCCTTCTCCTCCAGAGAAATGTTTCTCCAAGCTTCTGGGTGAGAAGACTCGGTCCCTCCTTGGCTTGTCCTTTAACGCACCACTTGAAGCTGTGATTTGCTCACAACCCCCAGCTCGATGGGGGTTGTCCTGACAAAAGTCATCTCATTTCCCTGCGGATCAGGGAAACTTGCTGGAGAAGGTCAGTGTTCCAGAGGTTTCTGTCTGAGGGGAGGGTGTGTGTGTGTGTGTGTGTGTGTGTGTGTGTGTGTGTGTGCGCGTGTCTGCAGGGCCAGCTGCAGCAGAGAGCTGGTGGCAGTCCTGCCCCCACTGAATTCTGCACAGTGCCTGGCATAACATTGGTCCCCCAGGGAAAGGTTAATTGAATTTCATCACCAATTCATCTTCTCCACCAAAGAAAATTTTCACCTTCATCCCCTGTAAATGCAGAAAAATGACCCCTTTCACTCTCTTCCCTGAACTTCACTTTTGCCCAGAGAAAGTCAATATAAACTGTGCCATCAAAGATGGAAAACATTCTTCGCCTTCTCAGGAAGTGATTTCACAAGAAATAATAATAAATGGGAGAGGTGTCAGAAGCCATGTCAATAATAAATAACCTTATTACTCAGTAACCATAAAGAAATGTCTAGAGTCGTAAGTTTGGATTTTCCAGAGAACTCGAGTGCCAGCTATTAATGGGTTCCAAGTAAATTAAAAGTTTAGCAAATATCATCTACATAATCACATGCCTATTAAAAAGAAATACAAAATCAGAGAAAAGATAATCCATAAATGCAACCAAATTGAATGTTCCCTTTGGCCAAAATAAGGAACATCTCTCCCTGAAAAGTAATGCCACAGGTACGTATTAAAATCTTATGAGTAAATCAAAACATTTTCCATCAGACCTAGCAACCTTTCTAAGTCTCCTTTTCATCATCTGTAAAATCATAAAGGTAAGCTAAGTGATCTCTAAGGTCTCTCAAACTCCATGGAGAGATCCTCAAATACAGTGACTGTGTCATATTCAACAATATACTCCCTACCCCAGCACAGTGCCTGTTGCCTTGTAGACTCTCGATGACTTTAAAAAATTTTTAGAAGAGCCTTTAAAATTCTAATTTTAATGGTCTGTGATTCAAGATGTAAAGTGTGGTTCTTTCACAACATCCATTGAAACATGCCAGTGAACAAAATGTTGACCCAGAGACTATACAGAAGAAGAGAAATCTGCAAATGGTTACAAATAACTACATTTCTGTTTGGCTGATCCAGCAAAGGTCTAAAAGCGTCTCATCCTGAAGATCAATTCATGTCAGCAGTGAGCACAACTAGCGGACTGGGAGGTCCGCTGCACGGTCCAGCTCACTCTTGTCTACCATATACAATTCTCCAATTAGAGTCCCATCTCAAGCAAACAGCCATGATAATTTAAATTAATTTTGAGTAGCCTGAAGCTGACAGCCTTAGCATTCAAAAGAAATGCTTCTGTTCCTAAGGTAATTTATTGACACTATGTTTAGTGTTTACCAACTTTCTTGGATCCCCTTTCAGCTAACTCAGGCATTCACAACAGGGTGATATCGCTCATGAGGGGGTGAAAACTAGTTAAAGGGTGGGGGGGTCAAAAGGATGAGGGGGGGGCCAAAAAGTCTTAGATGTTATAATGGTTAGTGCCCCTCCCACCTTACCCCACCCTGCAAAGCTCAATCCTATTTGGAAAAAAAAAAATCTTACTCCTTAGTATTTAATTTCTGTGTTAAAGAGAATCTAATTTTAAAATTAATGAAATTGCAATGAATTAAATTTTTTTCTCCAGGGTGAGGAGAGGGGAACAAGAATGAAAAAGACTGAGAAACACTAAACTATGTGGAACCGATCATCTGCCAAAGGTCACAGGCCAGAGTCACCTGAAATCCAGAGGCTGAGCCCTGAACCTGACCAGGAGGTTATGCAGACCTCACCTCAAAGTCAGAGTCACAGCTGGCTGTGTTGCGTGAACTCCCTCCTGCAAACCGTCCTGGACTCCTGCCGTCCTGTTCTGACCTCTGCTAAGTTCCAAGTTCCTAAACCTTCATCTCGTCTTCCTACCTTCTGAGCTGGATTCCTCTTTTGACTTTTAGGAAATGCTCACATCTTAAAAGAAAAACAGTGTTGATTAAATATCTGCTAGTCACTTATTCCACAGATGTTCACTGAGTGCCCATCACGTGTTGGGCCCTGAACAAAACAGACAGTGCTCCTACAAACCTTCCTGAAACAATGGCAAATTAGTAAACATAAAACACTACAATGTCAGATGGCAATTGGTCCCATGAAGGGAACTGTGGTCGTATCAGATGCGTGTAAGTGAAGGGGGCATGGGGGATCAGGAAAGGCCCCCCTGAGAGCAGACCTGAATAAATGAGAGACTGAGAAGAGACAACACCTGTGGGAAGGCTGTTCTCAGACGGGGCAGCACCTGCAGGGACTCCAAGGGGACAGCCAACACTACAACCACTTTGCAAAACACTGGCATCCAACCCCATCTCACCCACACTGGCAGGGCTATGTGGTGTCGATCAGCAGCTGTTATTGAGTTCCTACTTTGATTTGGGAGGACGCCAAAAACAACAATAAAAAAACCCAGGGCATGTTTCTGCCCCTTAAAGAGCTAAAAGCACCCATGAATTCATGCCATGGTTTACTAGTACCAGTGTGCAGTCCCAGGTGTTACAGACAAACCCTCAATTGACTGAGAAACTGCAAATACCAATGACAGTGACTCCCTTAGGTTGGCTTATGTTTTGGAAGAGCAAGGCACTGCTGGGGCCTTCGAGGATGAGAAACGTGTTTCCATATAAACTCTAGAAGGGGAGGACCTAGAAGGAACCTCAGGGCTGGTATCATCCAGCCTCTAGTTTTACAGATGAGAGAAATGCACACCAAGACAGGGCCGAGAGCCTTCCATTTCCAGGTCTGATGACCCTTGAAGAACAGGAAAAAAAATAAAAACAAAATGAAATGAAAAAGAACGACCTGGCAGCTATTTTGAAAATCTAACACTGGAAGATATTGTGTATCCTAAAACATGGACTTTTTATCCAAATAACCAAAAAACGGGAATGAATAGAAATTGCAGAAATTCATGAAACATTATGAATGTTTCTTCTCAAGATGAGTGCAAGAAAACAGTTGGAGACCAGAAAACCAAAACGAATATTAGAAATGATTTCTGTTCCCTCCCTACTTGTAAAATACATTTGTTGTGCCTTCAAACACTGAAACAAGTTTGTCCGTCTGCAGTTTAGGATTGTTCAGGACTTGGCCAGTTCTGGGCTAATAATATTTCTGGAGTTTAGGTATCTCAATCCTAAAAGAGCACAGTGATGGGGGAAAGAAGTCATTTGTGAGGTGCTGTACATACCCGTGAATTGACAATTTAATTCTTTGAAACAGTGGTTATTTACCAAGAGGGTAACTGGCCGAGACAATCACAGCTTCTGTGTCAGCAGCAAGATAGTCCTGAGGTCACTGTGGTTGTGCATTTTAACGGGACCTTCCTGTTCACTTTGTAGGTCTGGGCAGTCATGATGCCACCCACCTGTCATCCACAACCATATAGATCACGCCATCAACGTACAGCGGGCAGTACAAGTAAGTTCTTCAGTTACACTGGAGTTACTTTCTTATTAATATATCTTTATTGATTTCAGAGAGAGGAAGGGAGAGGGAAAGAGAGAGAGATAGAAACATCAACGATGACAGTCATTGATCAGCTGCCTCCTGCACAACTCCCACTGGGGATGGAGCCCGCAACCCGGGCATGTGCCCTGACTGGGAACTGAACCGTGATCTCCTGGATCCTAGGTTGATGCTCAACCACTGAGCCATGCTGGCCGGGCTGGAGTTATTTTTTAAAAATAGTTATTTTACAATGACTCCTTTTTAGAACAATTGTGCTGTTTAGATGCTTCTGGTGTGTAGGCTTTTGGGTAAATAAGCTACTTACTATATTTGAATTCTCAGCATGTAACTGCACAGGTTCTGACCTGATCATTAATTAGCAACGACTCACATATTTATACTGGCCAGTAATATACTCTGCCCTTAACTAACTGCAGGTCCCCAGGCAAATCATTTAACATCTTTGAGCCTCAGTTTCCTTATCTGCCAAATGAGGTGGTTCTATTAAGTTTCTTCCCAGTTCCAGCATTTTCCTGCACTTTGGAGCTGAGTTAGCAAGTCAGGGATGGAGTCGCTAGCCTCATTAAGAAGCATATACACAACACATGGAAGTTTTAAACTGCAGAAGAGATGAGCCAAATTGCTTTATCAGATTTTGAGTATCTGCCAAGACAAGGGAGGAAGGGGGTCCCTGGGGTGGTTTTAC